ACTCCGTCTCGAGGGAGAGGATCGGAACCGACCCGGAGACATACGGTCTGGAGCAGTAACCTGGACCTGAACATTCGGGAAAAAATGTTTTCTGTCTCTCAGGAGTCGCCCGCTGAACTCAAGCAAGATTTCACGATCGAAGAGTCTAACTGCTGCATTTGGCTTTCCGCGAGGGAGAGATACGCCTCATGGAAATGATGACATGAGCTCTGGTCGTTGCCGAGATGAACGTAGGTGCCGAGTTGTATTATCCTCCTTCGATCCACTTGTGGCCGCCGGAAGTCTCGATTCAGAAAGCAATAGCGGGCAGAATGAAGCAGGCATGACAGCGAGAAAACCGCAGATCGTCCACGAAGAGGGCATGCTTTCGACCATGACCGTCGTCCGCGTGCTGGCTAATCGTTAAGTTAATCAACGTAATCAGATAACACGCTCTCAATTAGGCTCTCTCGTTTGTGGGTCCGTCCGAAGCGGACTTGCCGACTCGGAGCCCCGATCGCGGCAAGCCAACGAATGCTGGCAAGCTGCCTTTTGACTGAAGTCTCTTTCCCTCGGAAGCGCTCACCCGCTAGTACCTCAACTGGTGGTGTCCTTTGATGGGAACTTGCGTAACGGAAGCACTCGGCACAAACGATTTGCCAGTAGCGTTTCCGCGCTCCATTGGACTTGCCTGGGTTCCCCCGGTGAGTTAGTTTTGGGTTTTTCCTGGAAGCGAGTCGCCGCTGCCTTCGTACGCGCGCTGACACTTCATTTCTGGAAAAGCAGAAGGACAGGGCTCAGTCTGATTGTGGGCTTCAATCGGAATGATTCCCTCGGAGCTCCCCCCGAGAGAGTTTTCGCAATCACGATATTCTCCAGCAGCGCACAGGAATCGCGCTGTCATAAGGGATTTAAGTCGGATCGACGATTTCTTAGTCGAGGTCCAGAATCCCCTATGACGCGTGGTAATTATCGGAGCTGGATGTGATGAAGACGCGCATAAAGACAACTCCGGCGGGTCGCCCGCCATTGAATCACGGTAGAAGGATACATTCCCGGATTCTGGGAAGAGTCCAGCTTCGGAATATTTCCCTGCGCGCCATTCCAGGAAGCTGGAGGAGCTCCGACTGACACCGCGTCAGAAACGATCCGATGGTTCCGCCAATGGAGAGCCCGATGGAACATTGATGGCACAGTCGTTCGACGTACACCATACGCGATGTATTCCCCGACTGGACGGAACCGATCGTACTTGGTCAGTCTAAAAAAGACTACCGCTCTGCCATTACCCGAAAATAAGTTTAGACTCGCTCCGGCTCTCCGAGGGAAATATCGCCTGTTTGCCCCAGAAGCGAAGTGGGTCATTACCAGTCGCCATGCGCAAGTTCTCTGCCTCCGGTGGCCAGGATTTTTGCTCTCTCCTTGGTCTCCAACACGCAGTTAGGCGGTGCGACGCGGAACGCTAAAGAACACATGGTGGGGAAGCAGACTTCCATGAAAAAAGAACGCTCAACGCTCCTCGGAAGCGCAAGGATAGTGGTTATTCTTGTATTGTACATACATGCATACACATTTGAAGGGAAGATTCGAAGATGCCGAATTCGAGGTTCTCGCGATAGTGGAGAAAGAGCCCCGGAGCAAGACACTACAGCGTATACTCATGTTTCTGCGCTAGGAGCTGTACCACGGAAGTTTTCGGATGATCCTAAGACACCGTGTGGCTCGAGCTCATCTTTCCGTGCGATCCCAAGTTCCGGAAGCTGCACGCATCGCCGAGAAAATCATCTTTCAGCTCAGAGCAATTGCGTCTGTCCGTATCCTGGAGGTAAGGAGAGGCAGCGAAAAATCCTTGGGCGGCCGACAGGCACCGAGGCAGGCCGTCGGGAAGAGGACGACGCGAAAAGATAAAAGAAATCAAGAGCAGGAGCCGAGCCGGAGTGAGACTCGCAACAAAGGCGGCTCGGTAAGGTAATCCCTAAAAATGGATGGCTTGCCTCGCCGCTGCACAACGGAACAGGTTATGAATACATTACGCTGTAATCGCTACCAAGCCACCAAACTGTTCGTTCGCCATTTCTCGCGTATTCTTCTCCTGTTTGCCGCGGAGATAACGATTCTCCAGCTTACTGCGCGGACAGCCGACTACTGTTCTATATGAACCACCGGACGCACCGTAGGTATATGAACCAGCGGAAGGGGAAAAATGATGGCATCATCAAAAAATTGTGAAGGGAGCTCCGGAAATCGGATCCGAATAGCCCTCGCAAAGAGGTGACGATTACCTCGGACGTGGATTGTGTGGGTGTTGTAGGTGGGCCTGGTGTCTTGTGTCGTTCCTCCTGCCCTTCAGCTACGAAACTCATACGACCCAAGATTGATGTGACGGTGCGACTTCGGCCGTATTTTGGATGACGCTCCCACACAGACGTCCTCGTCCGAGGAGGCGGTCGAATTCTGTTCGGGGAAACGTCCGGACGTCCGCTCAATCGTCTTCTTCCTATCATACCAGAAGGAACTCTGTGCGCGAGGCTGGAATGCGTCTTAGGACCGCGATTCTATGGAGAAATTCTAGCCGCTCCGGCTCATAACAGCCATATGTAAACAGTCTGCGGAGGATTGAGAAGTTCCTGATTGAATCAACTTCGACCAGAGTTTCCTTCCTCGCCGGCGACTCTGAACACCTCAACGAATTACGAGAATGATTGCGAGAGGGATGAAAACACGATATTAGACTCGCTCCTTCAGGTGAATCAGAGCGAGGCGTTTCCTCAGCATTGCAGTGGCGCAACCAGTCATCAAGTGGAGAAGCCCTCTTGGTCAGGGCGTTCCTGTCGATGGAGCGACTGCTAAACACGGAGCGCGTGGACATGGACGGTCGCTCCATTGAACCTTTTGGAACAGATGCGCGGCTACGATTTCTCTCCGGAGATGGTCCTTCCCGAGTTTCCGACCACCGCATTGGTTCGAACCAGAGCCTTGGAAGCAATATTCGAATCGCGGAAAGGCATAATCGGGTAAATTCGTCTTCCAAGACCCATGATATGGCAGTCAGGAAGGCCGAGCCCTCCTCCTTGTGGAACATTAATTATGATCCCATGCCTGATCGAATTACCTTCGTGTTACGTATAAATATTGTAATTGCAGATTGTAGAGCATGCTCGTTTTTTTTCCGAGCCTCCTAAACCTATCCCTTCCGGCCATTGATACATGATTTTCGGCTCTGAAATGTGCCCTTCCATCAGAGACTGCACGTATGTTCGAGTCTGCTCTGCATTTGGAATATCAACGGGCTTGAAGTTTTCTCCTTGAATTATCTGAACGGCCTTGTGAAATCATCTGAGGCCCTCATCCGCGAGGAGAAACGGTCGGAGCTGTGATCAATACGGAAAGCCGCCTGATTGCTGGCGACTCTCTTCCTCGGATAGAGTGGCCAACTTCGTGGGCGACGACGCATCAACTCTGATTCTCGCCTCAAATGCGCGAAGGATGTCGCCTTCTTCTAGCAGAGTCGGCGGGAGACTGAGATAGGGAAAAATTCATGGACCTTGAATTTGCTCCAGAGTAGTCCGAGATGTTTAATCCTCATCGAGGCCAGAGTCGAACCTTTCGATGGATAGTTTTCTTAAGTTCCTTCTTTGTCTCTTCACTTCAAGTCGGAGACGAGACGCCTTTTTTGATTCCGAGAGAGAGGGAACATCCACATAAATCCAGTCATCACTGCCCCAATGGATCGACATCCGGGAGCTAAGACGTGGGCGTCGGGCGATCATCCCCGGGTTTGCGACTTGACTCTCCCGACTCCCGACAGGTTCACGGGTGGGAGAGAGCTTGATCCCCTCCTTTGCACAAAACGCTTTCGAGAGGCTCCATAATCCCGTGTATTCTCAATATTCCGTGTATGATGCCGATGACATCAAGAAATTGGAACCATGTGGAATCAAGCACTCAGGGGATCTGTCTCCAATATCCGCGTAATTCGTTCGAGGCGATGTCGATGATTGGCGTTGGTTCCAAAAGTCGACGGGCGATGTTTCAGTCAGAGAGGGAGGAAGCGGGAGGGAACGATGGGAAAACGGAAAAAAAAGCTAAAGACCAGAGGATTTCGACTCCCGTTTCCGTTGACGGCCTGCGTTTCCTTCTCTTTCGTTGTGAAACGACATTAATTTTGGAAGCCCGGTTCTCCGTAAGCCGTTTTGCCCTGCCGTCTCCTCAAGGATATTTCCTCTTTCTGTTTCCTTGCTGCCGTCGCTGCTGCCGCATTTGAGGCATGCGGTGCAAAAGTTTTTCTGCCCTCTATTCCTTCCCACTCACTTCAGCCCCGGATTCTCCCTCATCCACTTACGACCAGGGAGCTCAATCCTCTGCCTCATTCCTGATTCCCATGCATGGAATCATTGCGCGTCTTGAGCCTCCTGCGCTGCCGCTATCTTGAGGCTTCAAAAACGGAGTCAGAGACTCAGAGGATATATCCGGCGCTTCGTCATAGAGAGTTCAGCGAGTCCGATACATATACTTGTTTTACCTCTTGATAGAGTTAATCCAGAGAACTTCTTCAGAAATGAGCTCGCCGTCAGACTGGATGTCTTTTCGATTGACCTTTTGATCCTCACGAGAAATTATGCCTTGGAATTGCGACCGTCAGAAAGAACTGATTTTCTAGGCGCGATCAAGCACGGCTCAAAAACGGAACCATCTCCTCAAAAGTCAATCAAGAAAGTACCTAATCTCCCTCCCGCGGCCGACAGTTCGCTATGCAGCATACGCTCTGACTATCTACGTTCTCGGAATCATCTCTTGCCAATGCAAGCTTCACGATTGAGTTGGAAAATCCCAAGTTCCTCCCTAAGAGGCTCTAACGAAGAAATAATCTTTTCACTTTGGTCCCATCTAATCTGGAGTTTGAGCGCCGACATGCAAGGGTGAAGCTCGGCTCCGCTCACTCGGCGGGTCTGCCGCCCTGATGAGCTTCGATCGCAGATCACCGCCAACCGAACTAAGCAGGTTTCGAATTTCCATTTCAGATGAGGTAGAAGATGACATCCAGGAGGAGAACGACGACGACGGCGGCACCGGTGCGGATGGTGGCGGAGGCGGCGGCGGCAGCAGCGACGGCCAGGAACAACACAACCATCTGCTCACCCACGAGGTGATCAAGGGCCCCGTCCTCGTCGAGGAGCCACAGGACATCGTCGTCTCGAAAGGACATCCCGGTCGTCTGCAATGTCAAGCAACTCATGCGCTGTCAGTTCACTTTCGCTGCAACGGTCACAGTTTGCCGTCGAAAACCGTTGATTTTGTCGATCCCATGAGCGGTGTCCGGAACATCGAAGCCGTTGCCGACGTCCATGCCCATCGCCTCCAGAAAGAAACAGGACATGTCATGCACTGCAGCTGCCAGGCCTGGAGCAGTATTGGCAGGGTGCAGAGCCGAATCGCCACGGTTGCCTTAGCACGTAAGCATACGTAGGAGTATGTACTTCGCCAATCTGTGAGGTGTGGGGGTGTGACTTATGCTGTGGAGGCTCGATTGGGAATCTCGTGCTGATAACGATGCGTTGAATGTGGATGGATATGAGAAAGAATAGAGTGAAAAATCGTCGACTGCCGCGTAGTGGGCTCGAATGAAGAAGCCGCGAACTAAGGGAACGACTGGTGTGAATCAAAATCGCCGGATCCGCGAGCCGACACTCGCTCTGAAATAATCCGGACAGGCTTCTCCCTCTGCGCACCTCGTGTCATTACTACTTTTGTGACTGACAATTGTTATTAGCCTGGCCTTGGCTTAAGAGCCTCAGGACGGAGGAGCAGAGTAATCATAGCTCTTATCCCGAGCCTGCTCCTCGGTCGGTAATCTTCTCGGAGGGAGGGCGAGGAGACTGACTGGAGAATCATCAGATGACTACTTACTACCGACTGCTGCACGACAGTCTCACTCATTCACTAACTCAGCCACTCGCTCGCTCCCCCTAGCCGGCTTCGCTAATAAATGGCAAGCGACAATAAACTCACCCACTTCAGGCAGGGCAGAGAGCACTACCAGCAAACAAGGTTGTCTTCTCTCTTGCCAACAAATAACTTAATGCCCTGCGGCCGAATCTGGAGCCAAGGAAAAAACGGAAGAAGTTCGAACGGACACTTCAAAGGAGCCCTGGGCACGGAGTATAACGACGACCGACCGACGGAGACGCAGCGGGTGCCTCAAACTTTCGCTGTGACGCTCGTATTTTCGCGACGTCATCCTCCCGATGCTGCAATACGATACAGAGTTCCTTGGACACCGTTCCGCTGTGTTCTCTTGCGACGGACAGCCGGGTCATCATTTTTCTCTTTCATCTTAATCAGCGCTGTGCGGAAACGCGGCCTCTCTTGGACGTGGCGTCGTTGCCATCTCAGCTGCCACCGTCCGTATTTGTCGTTTATTTAATCTATAGAAGCGAGGGGAATTCGTGTCCGTGTACTCGCTGGGCTGATAGGACCCAATGTGTTCGCGACCACTTCTGCCTCCATATTTCCTTTTTCTTCGCTCATTTTCTCACGTGGTGGGACGATAGCGAACCGAACCGAGCGCCACCGTTCGTTGGTTCGCTTCTTCCCGCTCTCCTCTGCGCCTGCCGGTCTCCCATCTCCACGCCCCGCCAGCTGCGAGAAGATGCGAGTAGGACGTCAGGGGGAGGGGGCGTAGCGAGGCAATCCCGTCGTCGCTGCAGCCACCGTTGTTGCTAGCTCTTCCCGGATCGCGGAGCCGTAAGGTCACGTTTCGCGACGCCTGATTTACCTCGGGCAGCATTTCGACAACCATCTTATCGACAACAACGACGACAGCTCAAGCGCAGCGGCCGGGGCTGAAAACAAGTTTGCAAACTCTCCCGACTCTGTGCAATCGTCGCCCGTTCAGTTCGTCGATCTGCACCATTCTCGGTATCCGCGATCCGCCATCGTGGATGGCACTCCGCTTCCGCTGCCGGGGACTGCCCACGGACATTCTCGAGGGCTGATTCACGCCATACCTGTTCGCGGCAGACAGCCGCGACTGCTGATCATTATAATCATGTATCCCAGAAGACACGATTGCATGTTTCTCCGCGAGTATCACAGTGAACGCTTTCCTCCAAACAGCCGGGTTGTCCCAATAAAGGGAAGCTTTCGTTGTTTTGCGCAACAATCCCCACTCTCGTCGACGGGTGTTACGGGAAGGGGGCAGCTCAGGTCGAGAGAGTTTCAATACGGAAGACCGACGCGGGGGTGGGAGCACCGTTTTCTTGTGGAGATTGAGGGAATGCGATTTCGAAGAGGCAAAAAACTTATTTCACGTGCTCTCGTGACCGCGATCGCGTGATGGAGGCCCGATGCCCGCGGGCGTCTGAGCTCTGTCGCGGCCCGGGCACTGTGTGAACGACAAACAATTTCTTTTCTCCAGTCTGATCTATCCACCGCCCACCTCAGAACTTCCGATCGAGGTCTTACGGAGAGTTCAGCGCACGACCGCATTTTCAGATGCCATACCGGCCAAGTCACATCAGGAAGGTGGACGGCCACTTCGCGATCGGACTCCGCGACTCCTGCAATCCCCGAGCAGGAGCTACCGCGAAAGGAGGATGCGAACGTGTACCAGACATTCCAGTCCCGTTCATGGCTCAGAAGGGGAAGAGCAGGGAGGGGGTAGGAGCACTCTGGCGAGAGATTTGCCCCGAATGTTTTTTGCCAACTTTCGTCCGTGTTTCCGAACTTTACTCGCTCATATCTCCCGCCACGGTCCATCACCGCTCATGGAATGTACTTAGGAACAGCGGAGGAATAATTCATCCTTTCGTCAGTCAGTCAGTCTTCAAACTCGACACCGTTGTCACGTGCTTCATCCTTCACGTCGTCGTCATCTCCGTGTGTTCTACGTCCCTCTCACGCGTTCCCTCATTTGAAAGAATCCCTCGTTGACGGCCGCCGACCGACCCGTGTTCGCTCGCTCGCACGCTTCCTTCCTCCGTGGGCGCTCGCCCGCCCGTTCTCCCCTACGCACTGGAACAGCGGAAGCCTTTGTGGGTAAATTTAATGGGGCGAAAATTGGAGCAATTCTCTCGTACGCTTGCTGCCGCCGCTGCTCCTTCTATTTTCATTCCCCGCTTTTACAATGTGCCCTTGTTCCTCCGCCCGTCCGCGGGAAGAGGCGACAAGCGCGAAAGTTCCTTATTCTCGCTGTCCTCCGATCCCTCGTTGTTCCTTCCCCCCTCCGGCACCTCTGCTTCGGCGAGGGTTCCGCAAGGCGTCTGGTTCCCCGGGGAGGTTCGATTTGAATTTATTATTGTTGAGGTCGCCAGCACGACAGCTTCTTTCACTTGGTGGCGCAAATGCACCGGGAGGGGCTTCCTGAGGACGACGCTGACGAAGGAAAACCAGCGGCCGGTTCGTAACACAATCCACCCGGAGAGTCCCGGGATTGCTTCGGGTGCCCGCCAGAGGAAGCCAAAATGTTTCGAACTGAATCGAGGGATCGAGACGACTTCACGTCTGAAACTTCCGGCTTCGCAAACCGTTCATCAGTGAGCAGGGGTTCTCGAGAGAATCGGTTGACATCGCGGCTCGGCCAAGGTCAGCTGTCACTTCGTATGTATGCACGCTGCGGTATGCACATGTTCGGCCCAGCTGATAGGATAATCCCTCCGTTGTGCTGTTGGGCACGCCCAGACGTGAGTCTGCTCTGTTCTCTGCGTACAGAGCTTGCCTGCCAGACAAAGCCTCATGTATCGGGAATTCTGCGACAATCGGCGAGACAGAGACTGAATACTGTACAATCACAGTCATCTCTGCGTTCCATGTGTTTTTCACTTTAGCGGATGGATACATCAGCTAAAGATCCCCAAAAGCGTGAGGAATTGCTTGGGCAGCCAGATATTCGGAAGAAACGGAACGATACTTAACACGTTTCTTCTTTGCGCGAGTCTTTTGCGAATTCTCAAATTGTCGAGCGGCCGAGGAATCCAGCAGATATCCGTCATCCAATCAGTGAGCGTCGAATTGCGGCAGCGAGCAAGTGGACCGCTGGGAAGGGAATGCCATGTTCCTAATAACTAAGTGCTCCTTGGGGACGAGCTTTCGAAGATACTAAACGTCGTTTCTCCTCTTCCATCTCCTTCCCGATCTCGTTGTATGGTCGGCCGGTCGGTCGGTCGGTCGGTCCGTCCCTCCCGTTCGCCTGCCCGCCCGCCCGCCGGTCGTGTGCGCGACCGCTCGGTCAGCCCCGACGCTCGGTCGTTGCAAGCCACCGCAATACACCGCTGAGATTGATGGAGTCCATTTTTAGACATCTCCAGAGCTGGCATCGCTTGTGTGTCAAGCAAGCAACGAATGGACGAGTGAACCCAGCGAACGAATGAACGAACGAGCGAGCGGGTAGACGAATTGTTCGGGTACAAGACCGAGATAGATGAATTGCAAATACTTGATTGTGTTTTTCAATGTGGCTACTTTGCAAGCATGTTCTCCCGAACAAACGTCGCTGCATGAGAGGACGGCCACCGAACGAAATGTTAACATAATGGTCGTCGATGGGGCAGGCGCAAGGTGCGCATCGCATCGAATAATCGATCTTGTCGTAATGATGATACCGAACACGGCTTCGAATGAACGTCGCCGGTTTTATGTTGACTACTACTCGTGGCCGCAGCCAGTCGGACATCGTCAATTAAGTGAACGATAGACCACAAATTGCGGCGATATTTCACAAGCGACCGATACGACAAAAAAACTGATCATATCGATGGATCTCGATCGTGAATACCAGTAATGCCGCTATCGTATGAGGCGGACACGGTGTGCCCACCCCGACGGGGTCTCGCGCCTCTATTGAGAGTGGAATCGGAAGAAAAATCTCTCGGCCCACCGCGGCGAAAGCTGAACCATCGACAGTGTCGCTCTTTTTCAGTCATTGCTTTCGGCTGCGGGAGGAATCTCCGCTCCGCGAGAGACCCGTTCGGGGAACTTTTTGCTGCTCCATTGGAATCCGGGGCGGCGGGCTTTGTCTATGGCCATTTACTCGATTCGGTCCTAGTGAAACGGAAAGAGAAACTGTTTTCAACTTAGCCAGGTGTAGAGGAAATAAAACGCTTCTGTCGTTGCTCTCTCTCTCTGCCTTGCGAACTCGGGGCCCGTGGGTGAGGTCGAACACGGTCGGTTGGCGAGGTTCGAGTTGGTTGTGGCGCCTCATTGGCTGAGTTCCCATAGTTTGAACTCGGAATGGCACCCTTGGGAGGTGGGAAAAGAGAGAGAAGAGAACAAGTGGTCGAAAAATAAGCCGCTCAAACTCTGTTCGCAACGGAGAACAAGATTTCATGCTCGGAAGAAGTAAGGCCACTCCTTCGAGAAGGAGACCACAGTGCGCACAGGCATTCCGGACGAATCGGATGAATTTGCGCAAGCGAGATCTACTTCGAGGGTTTTCGGCCGACCGGACCCCGGCCTCGGAAGAAGTCCACTTGAGCAGGGAAGGGAACTTCGTCGGATGCGATGGACAATCCGCGTTTCATTCCTTCCGTTTCGAAATGTGGGACGCCACGCCGTGCAGTCCCTCTTTCCCTCAGCGCACATCTGAGCGCGGTATACCGTTTTGTCCGGTCGACATCTTTGCGGAAGGTGAAAGGAGCGAGGTATCCCAGCTTTTCAACGCGGGACCACCACATTCAGAGAACGGAATCTAATTCTGACTTCCTGAAGCTTCGAGTGAAGCTTGGCTCCTTCTCTGTGGCCGTGTTGTACTCACGGCGGTATCCGATTGGAGGATCGGTCTGCTGAGAGCCCCCGTCCGTCTCGGAAATCCACTCCCTCCCCCCTCACCTGAGATGAAGGAGGCCGTCATGAGCCGAGAGGGGGCGATGAAGTGCAGCGTCAGATGACGTTCCACAAAGTCTGTGAATAAGGGTCCCCTAAGCCCGAAGCATGCCTTCTTGAGATGGTTATACCCGTCTCTATTGAGTCCTTCGTGAAGTTTTATCATAATCTTATATTATATCGTGATGAAGTGCTCGTAGATGAAGATTCGGGGTAAATACCGTGGAGGAGGAGCCTCTCAGAGCATGGGATATTCCTCTCACCTGAGAATTCGCGGTACGGGTAGGAAACGATGACTAGTGAGAGATCATATAAATGGAAGGGAGTCGAGCGAAATACAACAAAGGATTTCCTTTACGTCAGACGAAAACGAAAAAATCGTAAAACCACCGTAGAGCCTTAGGCCACTTCCGCGGCCGCTCACTTTAGGAGCGTAATAGGATTTGCTTTGGAAAGAGAAGATCTTTCCGTTTTTAGGGGCCAGATGGTCAGGCGAGCGGTCATCGGCTTCCTTCTTGCAGGGTAGAGCGGCACGAAAAAACTCATAAAAAGCGCCGAAGCCGATTCCGATCCACTGTCTCTAACAAAGAGAAACAGAGCTGAAGGTCTGCCGACTGAGTCGGAATAGTACATTGGAGCGCCAGTGCCGCCGCCGTCAAGTCGCCGTTGCTGATGAAGAAAGTTTTTGTTGTAATATTCAAACACGGCTTGGATCGGGGCGAAGTTCAGCATCAGCGGCCGCTGTTAGTGAAGTAGTTGAATGTCAGGAAAAGTTCTACATACATGGACCTGTTTCAGCTCCCAGCCATCCGTCAGGACCTTCGACGTCTCACAGACGTCTCGTACCGATTGGGGAAAAAGTCGTGCTTGAATGCCTTCCATCGTCGGCTGAAAGAGCCGACGATCGGGGACTCTTTTGGCTACACAATGGGAAAGCTATAATGCTAGACGACAACATCGATTTAGACCAAGAAACCGGGACTCTAGTCATTCTCAAAGTTACGCTCGAAAACGAAGGGAACTACACGTGTGGAGTCAAAACGCCGAAAGGAGAAACCCGACTCGGAGAAACAGCGACCATCTCCGTCCAAGGTGAGTTCGAAAGAAAACTCGCCTCCGAATTTATCTCTCCTCAAAACAGAGCGTGGGTCTCGAGCGTTGGGATTTTCTCGGCCTCGAGAGTCGGAGCTCCCACCCAGAAATCAGCACTCGATTGACCCTGTACCATCTTCTTCGGCCGCAGCTAACGGCGGATGGTCGCCATGGGGCCAGTGGAGCGAATGTTCAGCACGCTGTGGGCGAGGTTCTCGCTCCCGTACTCGATCCTGCACAAATCCCCCGCCTCGGAACGGGGGCCAGGATTGTCTCGGAGATTATTCGGAGAAATCCGACTGTCACTCGAGCAGCAACTGTGGAAATACAGGTAGTGGTATGGGAGCTCCTGCCGACGGAAGGTGGAGTCCCTGGAGTGACTGGAGCGGATGTGGACAAGACTGCAAACAGCATCGGTACGTAATTCGGCACTGGAAGCTTGAAATCGAAGTGGACGGGGAATACTTGAAAAACTCTGAAATTGTTCTCGCAACAGGAAACGTTGGTGCGTCGGCCATTCATCTGCGTCCCGAGGCAGCAGACCCTGTTCCGGGAAAGATCAGATGTCAGCCAACTGCACTGGCGGTCTATGCTCTTTGGTAGCGCACTCCCCACATCTGATTAACCAGCAGAATGCCGGCGTTGCTCTCAATCACGACATCAACAACAATAATTACTACGCGGATCAAAATCCTTCGCTAGCACACGATCAAGGTAGTTGTCAAAATTCCTTCCGTCTGAACCTCTTGATTCCGATATGTCGTGCTCGAGACCTAGTCTGAGTTTTTTTTTCTCAATTCGGCATTTCCGTACAGGATTCATCGCAGCAAATTTAGGCGGGATCCAGGCGATAGCATTAGTGATCGGGATGGCTCTCGCCGCCATCATCCTCGGCTTCACTTTCCTGATAGCTCTCCGTTTTTGGCCAACACGCGATCCGAGCAAGAGGCATCAGCCCCTCTACAGCACAGTGCCAGTGACAGGTCAGTGTCGAGCAGGCGAGTTTTCTCTTCGTCGACTCGTCGGTCAACTTCGGCCGATGGAATTCGATTTGATTCAATCTCGCGGTGAAGAGGCCCATTCGCTTCCAGGCGTGATTCCTATACCTCCGGACCTCACTCAAAGTTTGAACAGGGCTCCCGGCTTACAAGAGTTCCTCAGCGAGCAGAAGCTCGAGCCCGGCATAAGCATGCCGCTACTGCAACAATTGTACGCGCCAGCCAGCCTCATGCCGGCCAGTCCGCATCAATACAGGAACAACACGATGCAAGTGACACATCAGCATCAGCCGCAACAGCAGCAGCAGAGGTCGCGAACCCCGAGCTCGACCGGCAAACCAAGAAGCGATTCCCCGGTGAGCGGTAGACACTCAGAGAACGGCAACGCCTCGGAATACGATATTTACGACACGATATCCATGACTGCACGGGCCTCGGTTACTTCGGTGACGATCGGACCCACTCTCAACGTGGAAAGTGATTTCGTTTCTTGGGCATCTATAGGCCCACAGGGCGGACGGATAAACTTGCCGCACCTCGGAGTGTCCATGACCATTCCCCCGGGTGCCATAAAGAAAGGGAAGTATGAGATGTTCGTTGCGGTCCTCAAAGAGGACAGGGACAGGCCAGGTCTATCCGAAGAGCAGACCGTACTCAGTGCGGTTGTGCAATGTGGCCCGAGCAACGTGCCCCTCTGCAGGCCAGTGATTTTAAGTTTCGAGCATTGCGCACAGATGCCGGCTGACAAATGGTCGATTTCGGTGTTACTCGGCGAAATAAGCACCAACAACTCGAGTCAGACGTCAACAGACGAAGAATACCTCTCGTGGAAGAAGGTTGTCACGCTCGGCCACGAGAACCTGAACACCCCGTTGTATTGCCAAATGGATGCGCGGCTGTGTCATTTGCAAACGGATCGTTTGGCCCGTTACGTGATGTGCGGCGAATCGCAGAGCAAGTGCTTCGCGACGAAGTCCCTCGCCCTGCTGACGTTTCTTTCGCGGCACTCGTTGAGTCTTTCCCAGAGCGAATACTCGATCCGAATTTATTGCGTCGAGGACATCAAGGCCGCCCATCAAGCTGTCATGGCCGCGGAAGATGGGACCATGCTAGACAACATTAAACAGATCTACCTCCACGACGGAGGTGCCAACCTGTGCCTGACCCTCGACGAACTCTCAAAGGGATGGAATTTCAAACCTGGCGCCAACTATCAGGAAATTCCCTTCACTCACGTCTGGTCGTCTCGGTCGTCTCTGCTCCACTGCTCGTTCACGCTGATCTCTTCGTCGAACAATGGTCGCGACCCGAAGTTCCCGCTCGAAAGCAAAGTAACGATTTACCAGAGAGGCAATCAGTCACATAGGCAAGTACTCATTTTGGAGCACCACTTCAGCATGGAGGGTGGTGGCGGTGGCAGCAGCAACTCGACGCCCGCATCTCCAATCTATCGGAATATTTGTGAAATGTCGACTGGCAATCTCATGATGACCAAGAGCCTCGATCAACGGAAAGGGGGCATCGCATTGACGGTCATTCCGATCGAAGGCTTCCGAATCAATGCCGAAGCCAGAAACAAGCTCTGCGCTCTTCTCGATCCCCCACATCGGAGCGGCGTGGACTGGCGAACCCTCGCAGTACAACTTGGCATGGACAGGTAAATGCGGAATGCTTCTCACTGAATTTCGGCGACATCTTCTCAATAGAATGGGACAAGTTTTTCTTCTTAATGAGAACTCCGACGAAGTTTGCCCCGGATATCCGGAATATTCCAATTCCTGAAATTGTCGGAGATGGCTTGCTCGTAAGGAAACTCATTTGACTCTTTCCGTGCATTGTCCCTGCCTTCAGGAGATTTTTCTCCACCGGGCTCTTCCGGTTTCCTCCTCGTCGTGATCGGAGGGCGATGCCACTCTTATTCGATTAATTTTCTGCATAGGCGCAGCACAATAGTGAGACGGTGGCAGCGAGTCGAAATGACTTCCTCTGTTCCAGGTATACAAATTACTTTGCTACAAAACCGAGCCCCACCAACTTCCTATTGGATCTCTGGGAAGCTCGACACAGGGAACCGACGGCACAGGCAAATCTCATCAACGTGCTCAGGACCCTGGGCAGACCCGACGTCACCCAGGCCTGTGAGATTCTTTTTGGCTCTTGGGTGTAACCGAGGTCGTCCCGGTCGACTCGTGAGAAAATTGGACGAAGACAAAGAATGGATGCTCCCATGGAGCAGAAGCTTGGACTTGCCGACGAGTTGAATCAAAAACATGCAACGGGTTCAGGGAACAAGAAATATTCGGAAAAGGCTTCCAGCTCTTCATTTCGGAAACACATGAATAGTTGGCACATTGGGCATTTGTTAATAGTGACCGCGAATCATCGTTTTGAGCGGCGGAAGCAAAACGATCCCATCGCTTGAGGCTGGTTGGTTGCAAGCTTTGTTAGAACGACGGGGACGGAGAGGGCCCACAACTAAACAATCATCGTCAGACGAGAGATTCTCATCATTGCATTTTGACATTGTACATACTGTTTGTCTGTGAATACCTTAGACGAAGATGGGTAAACGAAAGAGCTAGCGTTATTAGAATTCAGGTTACGACAGGAACATGAGAACAGAATTTTGGGACAATGATTGAATGAAGACCCGGAGAAAACTGTCAGAATGACTGAGAATTTCGATTTTGTTCTACGGTCGGTCTATCGCAAATCGATGACTTATGCAACCGGAAACCTAATGTTCCTCTTGGATTTCGCTTACGAACACCCTTCAGGCCATCTTCGCCGATTCCTTGTCGCCGCATGACCGGTTCTGTGAGAAGAGACGACCCGGGAGGAACTCTCAGATAGTACGTATGTGATTCGGCAGAGAGTGAGGGTCTCGAAGCAGCTTCCGTCTCACATTGCTCTCAGCGGATGTTGTGTTGCAAGGAGGAAACACCGGATTTCGGTAAATATTCAACATGCAGGTGGATCGAAGGCGGACGTCAAATAATCCTCTTAGTCGTAAGCTTTTGATGGAGTTTCGAAAAATCAACGTCGTCCCTAGTCCTGATCCAGAATGGCGCTCGCATCTCTCGGGAACAGGCTCTCTGCGGCAAGATGGGAATCGGCGGCAGCAGGAGCAGAAAACGCGCTACCTTCACTGCCCTCGAAAGGGGGAAAACATTGCCCCGTAGCGGAATATCTATTCGATTGAAAGTACACTGATTCCGGATCGAGTCATCGGAAGCTGGAAGACCGTAGGCAGACAGATAAAGAACAGCTATCGCAGCGAGCTGGTGCTGGCACTAGGAGAGTAATTCCCGGTACATATTGTGAATTTTTTGTAAAAGGATCGTAACCTCAATTGAAGTTTATCAAAACAAAGCTAAAGCACGATATTGACCGAGTCCTCCGCAGGAGGCTGGAAGCAGTCGAATAAACATTTTAAATGAATACCTATCAAAACGACTTGTCATTGATCGCCCACGGAGTACCTAGAAGAGGCGAAGTTCCCATCCTACTCTGGGGAAGATGACGGCCACCGTCACGGAGGGAGGGGACGGCTGTATCGGTGTAGATGACGGGGAGATATTGTCTTAGAGACGCGCGGGGAAGCCAGATTCCGAAGGGGTTCGCGACGAGGGAAAATTCGAGACACAATACCCATCGCGGGAGTCTGTCTTACGAACGGGGGAGTTCTGCGCAGACCGCCCTCGTCAAGCTCATTATAAGCACGGACTCTGCGGGGAGGAAAGCGTTCCCTCATCCCGCTAATTAGACCTCGTTGCGCATCAAGCGAGCGAAAAGCTGGAGGACCGACCACAGCCGACGCATGAGCATTGTGTTCTTTGTTGTACGGTCTGAAGCGCACTCTTCGGGCTCACCGTCAAGCATCTAACCGAAGCTTGCTCGTTGAGCCCATTCAGTATATCCCGAGATTTCCATCTGGATCTATCTATCGCTGAGCAAGCGATGTTTTCGATGGATCCGGGGAAATCGAGAGATGAGGAGCAACCCCGCGGGCGGACATGGAGTTCGTACAGGCATTGTTTGCTTGTGTTTAATATAACCGTACCGAAAAGCTAGATTGAGTCTTCTTTGTTGACAAAGTTTCGGGAAAAGTTTAATTTCATTGCTGTGGTACTGCAATGTCGAACTCTCGGCCGATGGGGAGATGTATCGCGGGGTTAGTTTGACATTTAATCGCTAGCTTGAACCGGGACGCGATTGTGCTGAGCAGTTCCCGAGGGAACTCGCTCCTAGCTCGGAGTCATCGTAGCGCCGCCTCGGCTCGAATCGTTGAGGGCTCCCTCTCCGCCTCGGCACCCTGACCGGATGTAGGGCGATTGTTTCCCGAATAATGGTGCTTCCGAATTCCCCGTCCTAATATTTTTGAGGGAGAAGTCACAATTCACGTGATTCAATACTGATTCTTACGGTTTCTGATCGCACCAGTCATCCGCGTAGAAAACGTGGAAGAGAAATCCCCAGTCCCAAGAGCCGTGAGCGAATCCTCCGAGCCCATGAGTTTTGATTCCGAGAGCCGAACGCTCGCGCGTCGTGTTTACTACACGGTTTAATTCCGCGCGGGGAAATTCGGAAAGCGATCACACGAGAGAGCTTCCCCTTCGAAGCAGAGCTCGGGATTGGGTTCTCTTCTCGCCGGGGAGCGAAATTACACTTTAATGGGGGTCAGGGCAGACATCGAGAACGCAAAGAGTAACAAGGAAACGGAGATAACGACGGGAATGACGTCGACGCACAGCTCTAAGAAATACGAGAAGGAAGATAACTAAACTCTGAACGGGCGGACGCAGCGGATATTCCTCTTCCTTCTCCAAATTACGTCAGACCCACAACTACCACCACATTCGAGTGGTCCACAGTCGCGCGCACGCCGCGCCGCCACAGCCGACAGCGAGGCTCTCCTTTTCCTCCACTTCCCTATTAAGAGACGTCTTTTCCTTGGAGGACCGTTAATCAGGAAAATGTTCGCGAGAACAGCACTTCACTCACTCGGGTTTTCTCTCTCCCCCTCCCCCCGACGTCGTATGTCTGCTTCAATCTTCACAACGAGCGGGCTGCTCGTCTGCTCTCTTCTTTCCTTTCCCCACTCGGAGGAGCGATGACCGAGAATCAGCGATGCCAGCGGCATCGCGAAGGTGGCTGCCCTCCCGACGTCTACGCATTCGCGCTCTCGGGAGCCACATGGAGCGTCAAACCTATGATTTCCAGCTCTTGTTCGAATTTTTACTTTGCCTCGACTTCCTTATGACGACAATATCTTCGTGGCATTCATTCTACTCATTCAGCGGACGGAGGAGCTTTGCCGTCGAGGGCACATCCCCCCCCTCCGAGAACGTAAGGACACCTCGAGACAGTCAGGTGGGCTGACGTCCTGATGAAGCATCTTGTCTGGTTCCGTGACGACGAGGATCCAGGAGAGCGGAAGCCCGCAGCGGCTATGGCAGCCCGGCACCCATCTGTCAAACGCGCACCTTGTAACACGCAGCAGTTCCGTTTTCAGCCGCGGGCAGGCTAGCAGCCACACTGCGAGACGTCATGAGTCCGTGCGTTTATGGACGTCACCTCGTTCACCGGGGATACATTTCTGATCCATAATGCAGCATGACGGTTTCGAACCGCAAACCGCCTGCGTTCCGACTCCAACTGTCTTCGTGAGGATCCAACTCGGCGTGAATAATTGAAGGGGAGCACCGCTGAGAGTTGCTTGTGAGCTGTACATCTTCTTCCATTGACCCCGATTGGTGAATTATGGACGTCTTGCGGACAAACAATGCTCCGCGACGTTAACGTTTTACCTGTGTTTCTAGCTTACTCAGGCATGCGTATTAGCGCGGGAGCCGACGTGAACATTCTCTCGATTGCGGCGTGCGCGACTCATTCAATCTCGACACCGCGGCGGTGATCTAATGTCCGGAACTTTGAATCGAGAGATGGAATCATCGGACTCGGCCCTGGACGATATTCTCAGCAAGTGATCGGGATCCGAGTCGCTAAAAAGCTGACGGATCCGGTTGGGATTGGAATTCGCATCCATTATTGAAGCTTTCAAAAAAAAACATTTCAATCCTGGCCGCTCCGACGTGAGGATGCGTTCCCTCCGCGAGGCAGGAACGGCGCAGCGTACCGGTGACTAACGATCGCAGCCAAGAGAATAGCGAGACGAAAGGGAAAACCCGGTGTAAAAAATTCATTTCCGTAATAAATGTAAACGAGTCACGCCACGCAAGTTCCGCGACGCGACCAACCTGTTGCTGTTTGGAGCTCACCTTGCCGTGCGCGTTCCTTCCCTCTCGCAATCGTATGAGGTTTCCTTTCATCAATCTGTGTATTTATCTATTTCTTCAGACAGCCGCCGAGCAAGCAAGTGACCAACCGATGGGCCAGCCAGCTGACCGAAAGAGCAGGGATCAGTTGCTCCTGCATCTGGACCTGTCAATATTTATAGAGGCTCTATATGTTTTTCTCCCTCGGCGAGGCTATCGGGCTGTAAAAAGCTCGTCTGCTCACTTGTGAGCTGAGTGAGGAGCCTTTCCGGGAGAATCGTACCGGACGAAATCCGAGCAAGAGCGTGGACGAATCTTGGAGCGCCCATATCAGAATTCGCTTCCACAAGAGCAGATAGAGGAACATGCCGCATAGTAAAAGACCACGCTGTCGATGATTCTCGGACGCGATTTGGAACCTTGTGGCGAGGAAGAAAAAATAGTCGCTACAGATTTCATCGCCGATAGTAGAGAGGAACAAGAGGAATCAAGCTTCGCCGAGTCACAAAGCGGCGGTGCGCTCAGAGCGGAACCCCGTAGAATCTCGCAGCTCCTGTGACCTCCTGCGGGGCTTGATGTTTGGCGCCACCTGCGAGATGAGCCGGCTTTTTTTCGGGGTAGTATCGATCGGTGAGACGTGGGGGAAGAGTTCCGAGTAGCTCGGCGTATAGCTCAACGAAATATCGAACGAGCCGGATGGATCAAGTCGGGAGGGAGCGGTGTGGACGAGGGAACATGCGGAGGAAAAAAAATAAATTTCAGGCTAATTCACTCCGAGCACACTGCGTACAAGGGGGAGACGAGTTCGCTGCGGGAACCGGGTCCAGTGTCCGCTCCGCGAACTCGCTCGTTCCTGACAAACTGGCTGCCGACTGCCTTGCTCGACGGT